CTTGGTTTTGACATCACAGTTAGAGCAGGGGTAAAAGAAACCAAACAAATAGCTGCTTTTTTCTTAAACTTTTACTGAACAAAGTATGACTGACTTTTTAAAATAAAGTCTGTCAATACTGCTGCAGCCTACTAATAAACTAAAATTTACTTAAGCAAATATTCAGTCAAGTAAAAATAAATATTAAGGTGCAGCATTTAGAAAATTAACTGTACCTGACCTGTACTGTGTTCACATTAGCAGCTTTCAGCTTCACAATAGAACTGTGTAATATAAATATTGTCTCCAGAAATACAAAACATAACAAAATAAATATCTATTATAGTGCAGCATTTGGGAAAAATACCTGTGCTGCACTGTATTCACATTACCAATTTCCAGCTTTACATTAGGATGTACGCGCGCAGTGTTTCCCCTAGGTTTACAGCTTTGGGGGCAGGCAGACAGCAGACAGACACCGACAAGATTCATGGTGTTCATGTGTTTCTTTTAATGACCGCAGTCATAAAAAACGCAGATATTTTTGTCTGCTTTTCAAGTGGTTGACGCGACATATTTTCCGAGGCACGCTCTCTGTCTGCTGGTGGGGGTGTGCTCACCTGTGTGTCGGGGCGGAATCCCGCCATGCGCGATACAGAGAGCAGAGGAGAATTGTAAACGCGGGACCGTCTAGAGACAACAATGACAGGCTGTTGTGTAAATAAGATAAATAAGGCTATTTAGTTTGTTTAATAAAAGGACAATGTACAGACCTGTTCTATAGGAAAGGTAACCTTAAATGACTTCTGTTGTGATCTGGCACTATATAGAACATAAAATTAAATAAAATTAACTTGACCTTCAAGGGGGGGCAGGAGGTGCCGTTGCGGGGGGGTGGGGCGCCCCCCTAATACAATGGTAGGGGAAACACTGGCGCGTATGTGTAGTGGTGCGGCTTCATCCACCCCTTTCCGAATGTTGCTCGGGGGAAAATCACAAAGGTTCCACATTTGCTGAGTTTGGTACATATGCGTACCGTACCGAAAATGGTACCGATTGACAAGCCATTTTTTGATACTCGATAGTATCTAAGCAATTTGGTCAATATCAAAGAAGTATCGTAGCACCATTGTATCCAGTCCCATTTGCATCACTCATTTTGTCCAAGGGGACCAAAAAAACAATAATCCCTTTGCTGGCTATGATCGACATTCTGTGAAAGTTAAGATGTATATCCAGTATCCAGTGAGGCTGGCAGAGGCTCCTTCACATGTGGCTCATGGATTTGTGTCATTGCACTGACTGCCATCGGTGGGCTTTGCAGGGAGTACACCGAAGCAGGATGCCGCGGATGGAGAAGCACCCTCCCCTGGGGAGGAGGAGGAAAAGAAGAAGCAGAAGAGAGGCATGAGCTTCAATGTCGTCATCTTTTAGTTTGCATCATTCTTGTTTCTTTAGTTAGTGTGTTAGACATGTATATTTGTATAATTAATTCCCACCAGTACTGATTGGAGGATGGAGATAGTGGACTAAATTCCTTTTTTGTAAACTCCAGGCAGCTTTCAGAGCATCAAATTTGAGCTTTGCCATGTCTGACCTGGACAGCTCTTTCTTATGTTTTTCCACTGTTTACCCAGGTGGGAGGGGTCAGATTAAACAGAAGAAGAAGACTGTTCCCCAGAAAGTAACAATAGCCAAAATTCCCCGGGCCAAGAAGAAATACGTGACTCGTGTGTGTGGCCTCAACACATTTGGTACGTCCCCTATTTCGCTCCTGTTATTTTTAAGTGGGTAGATTGAGCATCCCACACAATGACAAAACACGGTGGCACTGTGTTGCTACCCACAATGCCTTGCTCCAATTTGGTCCGTGTTATAAACCCTGAGAGGATCAAGGTTTTGCGTAAGTACCAGCTCAGAGAATATACCCAGCATTTGATTTATGGGCATCATGTCAAGTGGTTCACTCACTTGAAAACTAGTTAACAGATAGGAAGCAGTGGGTAGTTATTAGAGGCACAATGTCACAGTGGGCCTGCGTTCATAGTGGGGTACTGCAGGGTTCAGTTTTAGGACCACTATCGTTCCTAATTTACATTAATGATATTGACACCAATACATATAGTAAACTGGTTAAATTTGCAGTCGACACCAAGGTGGGTGGTGTAGCTGATACTAAACTAGCAGCACTGAGGCTACAATGGGATCTTGATTTAATTAGTGACTGAGCTGGTACCTGGTAGATTTAACGTAGATAAAAGTAAGGTAATCCATGCAGGGAGCAGAAATAAAAAGTACAGATATTT